GAGCCCGACCTCTAAGCCCCCCACACTGACCTCCTTTATAATCGACTAAAGTAAAGGAAGATAGAGGTGGAGAAAGGGAGATAGAAGTTTTCAAGATTATCGTTGGCCCCTCTCTTAAGAGAGAGACTCCCCAGAAAGGGATCGTTTTTTAACGCAGTGCCTGTGAAGCCAACGATGAAACTGAAGCTGAGTGCCAACAGCACAAGATTATTCAGTAGCCAAAGAATGAAGAAGAGAGAGCCTAGCTCAGAACCCAATTTCTTGACCTGTTAAGGTTAGGGAAGCCATCTGTATAGCACAAAAGAAAGGAGGGGAAATTATAGGCTGATACTTGTCTTTTCTTGTAACAGGCAGAAATTTCCCAAAACTCAAAGGCCACCTCTTTGGCTCCTTTTATGGTCAGTGCTTCCTGTCCTGGCAGCTGATAGGTGCACTACTTAGCCTAGAAATTGGGTTATAATGAAGTTTGAGGTCCTCTAGAGGTCATCAAGGTGGCCATTTTGGGTCTGGCAAGTTTCAGTCAATTATCATAAAGAGGAATTTTGTGTGTGTCTGGTACTAGGGATTAAACCCGGAAACTCATGCTTGCTAGGCAGGTGCTCTATCACTTAGCTACACCCCAGCCATACACACACACACACACACACACACACAAACACACTCACACATTATTAAGCCCTTTATATTTTGAGATAGGGCCTCACTAAGTTGCCCAGGCTGATCCTGAACTTGTGATCTTCCTGCCTCAGCCTAGCTAGTAGCTGACATTATAGGTGTGCACTACTGCTCCCTGTTATGAATAGGAACTTCTTTTTTTTTTTTCTTTTGTTATCAAGGATTGAACCCAGGGATACTTAACCACTGAGCCACATCCTCAACCCTTTTTAATATTGTATTTAGAGACAAGTTCTCGCTGAGTTGATTAGGGCTTCAGTAAGTTTCTGAGGTTGGCTTTGAACTTGTGATCTTCCTGCCTCAGCCTCCCAAACTGCTGGGATTACAGGCGTGCACCAACACACCTGGCCATGAAGAGGAACTCTTAATGTCCAAGGGTCCAGTTCTCAAAGATAAGCACAATTAGGGTGGGGTAGAGTCAGGCCATGTGGACATTGTACTGAGTAACAAAATATTTCCTTCCGTACCACAGGGAAAGAGAATTCTGGATCATTAGCAATCAAATCCTCATGTCTGAGACAACATACATATTTTCTACTCACTTCTAGTTGTCCAAAAATAATTATGTGACCACAGATGGCCACAAGAACAATTCTACCGTGTTGCTAGAAGGTAGAGGGCTAGAAATACTTGTTGAAGTTTACTAATAACTACCATACCATATAATTATGGGAAGCCCAATGTCAGTTTCAGACCTCTACCATCTGTTTTCCCCCCAAACTTGAAGGAACCTTATTTTGTTTGTATACAAAATTATTAAATATTTTACTTTTCCACAGGTTTCCTATTGTTCTATTTATGCCCCATAATGCTTCCTGGCCCTGCAAAAAAAAAAAAAAATGCACTTATTATTGAATAAAAGAGTAGAATGTCACATTTATTTCATTTCTTTCTTTCTTTCTTTTTTTTTTTTTTGGTGCCAGAGATTGAACCCAGAGGTGCTTAACCACTGAGCCACATCCCCAGCCCTTTTAATTTATTTTGAAACAGGTTCTCACTAAGTTGCTTAGGATCTCTCTAAATTGCTGAGGAAATTCTTGAACTTGCAATCCTCCTGCTTCAATCTCCAGAGTTACTGGGGATTACAGGCATGCACCATCACACCTGGCTGTATTTTATTTCTTTAACCATGTTCTATGCCACACATCTGAATTTTTTCCCATTTGTTTTAAATCCTACTCAAGCAGAATGAGTTTAATGTTTTTTTATTGCCTATTTCCCATCCTAGTTCATGTGGAGATGCTGGGATGGGTAGAGCATTCCGGTATCGTAACTTCATGTCTTTACTGGCAATGTTAAAATTGTCCTCTATCAACATATTTTGTAATTTACGGAACTCCACCCTTTTCCTTTTCTTTCCAAGATGACAAAAATATAATCAGTATTTCAGTTTTCATATTGTGTGTCAAAGAGTTGCATTTTTCTTCTGTTTTTCAGTACAATCAAACATGTGATCCTTTAGAACTCATTTCCTTCCCTCTTTTCTCTTTGTTCCTTGTGTCTACAGGTACGTGGCCCTTTTTCCTGTCAGCTGAGAGTGAGCACACAAAAGAATTCTAAATACCTTCCCCATTTTCTAGTAGATGTTTAAAAGTCTATTTTAGAGTCTTTTCAAAAGTTTGTACAACACTGGCATCACTAAGCCACTGTGTGTGTGTAAATGTTTGCCCTGTGCAGCCCCACCTCATTCAGAGGTGTAGCCCTCCCCCCTGAGCCTTTAGGTGTCTATTAGCCGCTGGGGCTTATGGGATTAGAATTTATGCAAAAACAACCACAAAAGGAGCTAAACTACAAAAAGCAGAGTCTTGCTGGGTTTTAGCCAGTGAGAAACAGTGCAAAAGGAGCCACTCTGCCAGGCATGGTGGTCCATGCCTATAATCCCAGCTACTCGAGGCTGAAGCAGGATTCCAAATTTGAGGCCAGACAGGGCAACTTAGTGAGATCCTGTCTCAAAATAAAAATCAAAAAGGACTGGGGGTATAATGCAGTGGTAGAGTGCTTGCTTAGTGTGCACCAAAGCCCTTGGTTCAATCCCCAGTGCCACCAAAAAAAAAAAAAAAAAAAAGAGCCACTGCTCGCCTTGGACCCATGGATCAAGAAGAAATTGGGGGAGGGGGATCATTCATCCATGAAGGCAGAACATTTGATGGTAAAGTCTTCCAAGCCCTTGAAAGAGCTTTTATCAGTGTATCCCCTCTCAGCTCCTGAGGCAGTATGTCCAAGATACATCCTGGGTAGTGTGTCCTAGGAGTTTGGTAGGGGGTACTTCTCAGCAAACTTCAAGAGCAACACTCCTTTTGCTACTCCTTTCTTTTCTCTTCCTTCCCATGAATGACCCACCTGTACCTTTCCTAGGTAAAAATATCTCATTTCCTCTTTTCTTTCACAACAGAATTGAATAACTGCTCAAAACATGAACCCACATCATTAGGCATTGTTTTCTCTTTCCTGGATGACAGGGAGGACAAGGTTTTCAAACACTGTACAGGATAAGCGGAAATATTTATATTCTGCATGGGAGTTGGGAGAGGGGAGAAAGAAATTCTTCATCCTAGATTGGGTTAACGCATCAAAGCAACTCATTAAATTTTCATGTTGAAACAAGTTGAACATTCACACCCTGCTGTACTTGGAACTTCATTAAAATGCAAATGAACATAGAAGGAGATCGGATGTTAGTTACTTGGCCTAAGTAGAGATTAATTACAATCGCTTTCCTGAGAATAATTTCTAATAAATGAAAACCATAGGAAAATTAGGTGTTTGAGAGAGATGCAGAAATGACATGGTCAGAGAATGTGACCAGAAAAACAACAGGAGGCTGTGACGATTTTGCTATAACAGTGCACGAATAGTTATATTTACATCCTAAACCACAAATTTAAAACACTCATCTAATTGCACTTTGCGGAGGAGGAGCGTCAAGGTTCACTCCTTCTTTCCTTCCAACTCTCTATTTATCCTGTTTTCAATGACATTGCCTACGTACTTCATGGTCATACCCACATAGTCTAGACAGTGTCCTTTTCTTTTGCACCAAATTTAAACTCACTAATGCAGTCAGGGGACTTTTTCTTCATCTTTCACTTGCCAGGGACCCAAAATATAAATTTTGAACCCCAGGAACTGAACGCATATCTCAGTGAATGTTCCGTAAATTCTGTACCCTCAGCTACATCCCCATTACTGCTCTTTTTAGAAAGAATGAGACCAGAATAAGCCTGTGATGTTGAATGCAAAGATATCTAAAGGGTTTAAAGCTAACGTCGGATCAGAGCATGTATAGGAAGTCGGCTTATTGAAAGGATGTCACCATCATTGAAGGGACTAAGAAAGTATGAGAAAATGGAGTACTATGATACAAGCAAATGGGAAGCAGTTTGGGACCAAGAGTGGAGAAGCTAAGTAACCATGAAAGGCTAGTAAGAAAGAGAAACAAAGGCAGCCAATAAATGACTATCAATCAACAACAGGGAATGCCATTAGCATCAGCAGCGGTGGAAATATTACCAGACATGGTGCCCAAACAACATGCTTTTGTTTAGGGAAATAAAATGGAAATTTGGGGATTCTTGAAGGCATGGTAACTTTACTGTGGTAATTACTACCTATTATTTTTATCATCTTTGGATTTAGAGTTACCTAGAAAAAGTTGAGTGATATACAGAAGCTTTATTACTGACTACCCACCTTTCCCCCAACACTTCAAGGATGTGTGACCCAGGGAAATTTATGTTATAATAGAACACTCCAAAGCTACTTGAATGTACCAAAGCTCTGAAATTGAACTACTTTTCTGGGAGCTCATGTATTTATTTAGCTGCTGAACACAACAAACCAAAGATTGCAATAGACTTTACCCAGAACCACAGGCAGGAAATCCTACATCACTGAAGAAGGCTCAGGATTTGCCTATGCACAACGTTTTAAATTTGGCAATGTTTAGGAAAACCAATGTAACATTACCAGGGTCAAGATCAGTGCTGAGCCCCTCATAAGACATTCAAGATTTCTCTTAAAATTCCTACTGAAATTTGGCTTTCTTTTAATCATGTTTGAATCTGCACCAAATGACACACACTTCCTATTAGAAAAGTGTTTGTGACTGACAGAATAAATGAACTCCTTTCTGAGTAAGTGACTTTTAAAACGAAGATGATCATCCTATAGCCTTAGTTTTGGTTGCCAATGCAAATGAGTCAGAGGACTTGGCTTTAGACACTGAGTTAATTGTGTAACTCTACAACGGAAAATGCCATTGGAGAGCACTTGCTGACCTCACAGTTGAAAAAAACTATTTAAAAGATGTGCAAACCAGATGTTTCAGTCACATTTCAGCCGCTGCTCTGAGAATTTATCGTGAGCAGCCTCTGCCGGGCTGTTAACTTCACTATAACTGAAGATATGATCATCTTAATTTACTTATTCGTCTTGCTGTGGGAAGAGGCTCAAGGATGGGGATTCAAGAATGGAATTTTTCATAACTCCATATGGCTTGGTAAGAAACTTCACTCATAAGCTTCTTGCTGGGAATGTCAACTCTTTGAAACCATGAAGGAGTGAATCAAAGAAAAATTGTAATCTGATTCAGGCTGTTTTCAAAGAAAATGCTTAGGAAAGAGAGCCATTGAAATACCATTTGAAAATAAAAGTGTGCATGCCTTCTAAAATTTAAAAATAGCTCTGTATAAAATGAATTGTTTCATAGAAAATAGGTTAAGATTTATATTTCTTATGAAAGTGTATTTTAAAATTCTTCAAAGCGGATGTGATAGCATAGTGAGAAGTTTTCTTTAGCAAACTAAAATCACTAATATATTAGTTTGTTTTTATTTCAATTGCATTTGCAGTCAGATTTCAAATAAAGTGGAATATGCAAAAATTTTGTAGTCATTGTTTTATGTACTCTGAGCTGTAGGGTATGTCTTAATTTTTCCAAATACCTTTCAACTATTTTAAGAAAGCCAACTTGCAATATAGGAAAAAAAAATGAAAAAGTTTTCTACTTATGAATGCATTCTTACCATTTGCTTCTTTTTGTTACTGTTCTGCTATTCATATAAATACTTTTCTAACCCTTTCGTTAAACAAGGAGTTTCTTTTGTTGTTCTGTTTTGCTAAATGTAAGTAATGACATAGGCCAAACGGCACAGATAAACAATAGGAAAAAATTTAAAAAGCCAAAATACACAAAATGCTAAACACTCTTTATAGTACTGTAAACAATACTTTAATTCATATCATACAAAAATTGATATTTTTACATTCATTATTGTGTTAAATAGAGAAAAATTTGAATTGCTTGGGGGTAAAAATGACAGATTCTTAAACAGAGTAAAGAAAGAAAAAGAAAACAAAATTAACCTAGATTTTGGTTTTATGCTTGCTAAGCAGCACATGGTTGTAGATGTAGACTATTTTCCCTTTTGGCTTATTTCCCCCTGGTGATAACTGTAAGCATGCGGATTTCATTAAGAAGCACAATTTGTAATGCACAGCCTTGCCGCCTTTTTTTTTTTCCAGCTTGAGCCAGTGAACCAGTTTCAGTGTGATCTATTTAGCCAAGATGGGTTCTGGAATCTAGCAGAGGAATGAACAAACCTCTTTGTTTATGTTCATTGCATACAATCAAATTGAGGAAATATATACATATTTGTCAGAAATGGAAAAAAAAAAGCACAAAGCTAGTAGGAAATTAAACCCATACAGATAAACTGAAATGTTATCAAACTCTCTAGTGATCAAGTAATTTGGACTTTTTTAAGCGTTAGTGTATATTACAAAAATATAAACCTACTATAGAAGTTCTGCCCCAGAGAAAGAAGCAAATCCAAATCTTTGTTAATAGTATGCTGCAAATCTGAGGCTCAGAATAATTGCAAAGTGCTTCAATCTGGGACAAATTATTGACCAGTCAGCCTAGCACAAATCGTTTACACTTGGTTGGGTCCATATAATGTTAGAAACTATTTAGGAAGGAAAGAGAATTGGATTAGAAGGCAGAAATCTGTCATTAACTATCAAGAACAGGACACTTTTAACTCTGATATCTTCTGCTTCCTTAAATTGTAATTTAAAAACAGAACAACAACAACAACAACAAAAAACAAAACCTAAAGCACAAGAGATTTTGATTAGTTTACATGAATCATGAACATTAAAAATATACAAATATCAATTCTTTTCAGCCTCTGTTCTGAATCTGGAAGACAAGGGAAAGGGATAACAACATTACCTGAGCTCTTCTTATAGGACAGGAGCTGGTTTTACCCCCATTTGACAGAAGGAGAAATCGAGGCTCAGGCGGTGATTTATACAAGGTCACATAATGCCTTCATGGTAGGACCAGCTGCGGAAACCAGAGTCAACTCACTACTGTTACAACTTAGTGGGGAAAAAAAAAAAAAATATATATATATATATATGAAATTTTCAGCTTTAAAAAGTAATTGACTATTGATTTAAAAATTATTAAGATGTTAGTGATTCTAAAAGATAAAACTTTTAAAATTAGGATTTAATATACAAAGGCCCATCTTAATTCTGAACTGAGGAGTAGTTTAAAATAAAAGCCTTGTTTAAAATTTCCAAGTACAAACATCAAGAGTTCTCTGTACTTGCTCATCAAGCAAGACACTGGGAACTTTGGTGCTCTTTGAGGGAGGAAAAATGTAGAATATTAACATTTAGCAAATTAAATTGAAAATGATAGCACACACATTTTTTCTGTTTCAGTTACTAGTTTAACCTAGGGGCATACTACCACTCAGTGATATCACTAGTCCTTTTTATTTTATCTTGAGACAGAGTCTTGCTAAATTGCCCAGGCTGGCCTCCAACTTGAGATCCTCCTGCCTCAGCCTCCTGAGAGTTATTATCTTATTACTCGAAAAGTATCAGCATGTACCAAAAGTTTTTTTTAAAAAAATTACCGGGGCGGGGGAGATTTTAAATTATTTTCTTTAAAAAAATCTATTAATTTTTTTCCCCTGCAAACATCATATTTTAATTTTGGAGTAAAATATGGAAGAAATCAGATTGAGAAAGCTTGTAACACATTAAAATAATTCCTACAATTTTTTTTTTCAAATAAGGATTCTTACTCTATATTCTTGGGGAACAGATTCAATATTAACAGCTTTAAAAATTAACAATCTTTATTACAATATGTAAGTAAATTAGGCATGAATCCTTTTTCTATCAAATGTCTTAGTGTTTTAAGTATTTACAGATAAAGATAACACACATAACCCACTATTGTCCCATTTTCTTGAGGATGGGACTTGATCTACCCTGCTTAGCAAAATACCTCATGGTATTTGCTCAAAATAACCAAACTGGAAATTAGTGGAAGTTTACTGAGACTTCGCCATAGGAAGGACACTTGGGCGGTAGGTGATTTGCAAAAGGGAAGACATCTTGACTGGGTATGATTTGATTTTGCTGGTATTCTTGGATCTATGAGCATCAAACTGACTAAGGTGTTCTGTGTGTGACAGATAGGCCTTTACCATATAACAAAGAGCAGGGTCCTTTGGAATCTAGAAAAGCAGGGAACATGCCACACACCATCTCTCACTGAATTGCGGCAGTGTCAACTTTAGTTTGGGAAGAACATTGAATTGGACTGAACTGTGTTTCTTAATAGCACTGGATTTATGTTTTGCTGCGTGCCAAGGAATATACATTCTTGTTGGAAATGGTCTTAATGGTGGCTGACTGCACAGGTTAGGGTAGACATACTTAACTATAATCTGGCCATAATCTGGTAGAACTATTAGGGCTAACTTTATGACTATTGTCTTTGGAATCTCTTCACATGGTTTCTATGGCAGAAGGTACTCCAACTCAAAAACAATCAATTTAAACAATGATCTATTGGAAGACAACTCATGTATGACTTAACACTGCCTAAAATATGTTAGAAACAGCATGTGAACTAGAAAAAAAAAAAACCAAACAAGGAAGTGAGGGACTAACTGGCAGTTAAATATGCCCAATTTTTCTTTAGTGTGTTCGAATCTATTTTTCTTTTCCTTAACCAAGTATTCATTTGCTTTGGACTCTTGTAGTTTTTAATTTATTTACTAAGCTCTCAATTATATCACCTTAGTCATTTCCCTCACGTGGATATTTTGGCTTCTTTTCTCCATAATTTGTAAGCCTACATAATGGATCCATTTTCATTGGTTTCTTTGGCCTTCACTCATTTTTTTCTTACCTGTTGCTTACTTTTCCAAGTTTTTAGGGCTTAAAGCCAAAAGAAATAGAAACTTTATCACTTAATGATAATGTAGAAATACAATCTTGTTTAAAATTAAAAAAACAAAGAAAGAAAGAAAGAGAGAGAGAAAGAAAGATAGAAGCCAAACTTTCTTTCTGGTTATCATGTCAGAAACAATCCAGCCTCATGTTTTTGTTTATGTCCCCAAATTTCCCTTTATTCATATTTTTTCCCAAAGCTTTCTAATAATAAAAACAGCTACCCAAAGTAGCTGACTTAGAATGTTCTTTGGCAGGAACAATAGTTGAAGTAATCTTTCAGCTAAGGCAAAATTCCCTGTTCACAAGAATGGATAAGAGTGTATTGATGACATTTTGTGATTTCACAGAACAAGCAGCGGGCGTATACCACAGAGAAGCCCGGTCTGGCAAGTACAAGCTCACCTACGCAGAAGCTAAGGCGGTGTGTGAATTTGAGGGCGGTCGTCTTGCCACCTACAAGCAGCTAGAGGCAGCCAGAAAAATTGGTAACTCATTTAGTATTGATTTTTCTTCTTTTTCAGCCTTGGGGGAAAACAATTCACCTTTCCTATGACACTCAGTGAGTCTCCTCTTGCAGGTACTTTTGGATAGTTCTCTAGCACCCAGGACATCTTTGATGTTTGGTTTCTCCCCTTCTCTCCACCTAGAGCCAGAAGGGCTCTAGAAGCCTCTTACTTGGGGTTACAGTTCAGTGAGAACTAATAAACATCAAAAGAAAACGAAAACCTTATTTTCTCAATATCATTTAAATTTCTCATTACTTTTAATGTAATTGCTATTCATTTTTTTAAATGTTTTTTTTTTAGTTATACATGGGCACAATACCTTCATTTTTTTTTTTTAAAATGTAGTGCTGAGGATGGAACCCAGTGCCTCATGCGTGCTAGGCTAGCACTCTACCACTAAGCCACAACCCTAGTCCCGCTATTCATTTTCAATATTTTTCTAACTTTTGACTTCTTATGGGTTTCCTCAGCTAGTAAATGATGCTACTACATTGAGTTTTACAAAGAAATTTACTTTATAGGAGAAATATTGAATTTAGAGACTTTTTTCCCAATATTTTTAACATTAAATGAAAGACTGCATTTGTACTACAGAATTGAAAGCTATGAGGAAAAGGTAAGCAGATTGTAAAATGTCAGGAGAAACTTGGAAAGTAAAAAAAAAAAAAAAAAGAATATCTGGTAAAAAAAAAAAATTGCTGGGCCAAGTGATACAGGCCTGTAATCCCAGCTACTCAGAAGGTTGAGGCAGGAGGATCATAAATTGGAGGCCAGCCTGAGCAATTTAGTGAGACCCTGTCTCAAAACAAAAATTTTAAAAGGCTGAAAGTGTAGCTCAGTGGTAGAGCGTTTGCCTCGAATGCATGAGGTCCTGAGTTTGATCCCCAGCATTGCAAAAACTAACTAAATAAATAGGGCTGGAAGTATAGCTCAGTGGTAGTACACAATGAGCATACACTGATAGTGTACACTGGAAGTGTAGCTAAATAGATAAAAAGGCTGGAAGTGTAGCTCAGGGGTAGAGCACTCCTGGGTTCAATTCCCAGTACCACAAAAGAAAAAGGAAGGAAGGAAGGTAGATAGGGAGGTCTCACAATTATAGAGCTACTTTCTTCTTTGAAAAAGGGTGGGGAGAGGCAGTGCTGCTGTCATCTCTCTTGGGCTTGTAGGAGAATGGACCACACCCATCAGAACTCCTTTACTGACAGGAAAATGCCTGTCAAACTTATGCTATTGTATAATAACAGTGATATACAGTTATCCCACAATATCAGAGAGAAATTGGTTCCAGGATTCTATGGATCCCAAGGATGAAGTATTTTCACCTAACACATGCACATCCTCCCATCAATTTTATTTACTTACTTATTAATTATTTTGCTACACTGGGGATCAAACTCAGAGCCTTGTACATGCTGGGCAAGAATTCTACCACTGAGCTACATCCCCTTCCCTCATACATTTTAAATCATCCTAGATTACTCATAACATCTAATACCATGTAAATGCTTTGTAAATAGTTACACAATATTGTTTAGGAAATAATGACAAGAAATAAGTGTGTACTTGTTCAATACAGACACAATTTAAAACAATTTTTTTTTTATTTTTTGGTGGACACAATATCTTTATTTTGTTTATTTATTTTTATGTAGTACTGAGGATGGAACCCAGTGCCTCACATGTGCAAGGCAAGCCCTCTGCTACTGAGCCACAACCCCAGCCCCTGAGACACAATTTTTTTAAAAAAGAGATTTTTGCCATTGGGGTGGTGCGCACCTGTAATCCCAGCCACTCAGGAGGCTGAGACAGGAGGATCATGAGTTCAAAGACAGCCTCACTAATTTAGTAAGGTCCTAAGCAACTTAATAAGTCACTGTCTCTAAATAAAATAAATTTTTAAAAAAGGGCTGGGAATGTGGCTCAGTGCTCCTGAGTTCAATCCCTGTTACCAGAGAGAGAGAGAGAGAGAGAGAGAGAGAGAGAGAAATTTTGATTGCCCAGTTGGTTGAGTGCACAGATGCAGAATCTATGTACATAAAGGGTCATCAGTAAAAGTATCCTCTCAGATACCCCAAAGCCTTCCCAGATAACAGCTCAAGGCTATGTGGGGCAAAGGAACTGTCATGGTGGACACCAAGGCCATAGTCTTTATGATCCTTCCTGGACCTCTAGTAACATCCTTGTTCGATGGCAGTGACAGATTTCAAAACACCTCCAAACCTGAGCCAGGGAAACAAGGCCAAGTCTTCATTTGAAATTTGTAATAGTATTTATCATTATTCAAATTATTTCAAATAGTACTAATATCTTAATTGATCCTGAAATAGAAAGTCATTAAATTGTCACTTGAAATTTTTTAATATGTTTCTGAATTTACAGTAATTACAGAAATTATTTAATGGTAATGGGAAAACCAGCTCTGAACCTGGAATATTTTTATGTCCATTGTATGATTTGTGGTCCATCTTATTTGTTTTTTCCTAGTAAGATCATTTTCTTGTAAAAGTAACAAGTTATATTTTATTTCTGTTCAAACTTTTTTTTTTTCTATTGCCATCCAAGGGGGTATACCATTCCTGTAGCTAGTGCAATACTAGGTGGCTTCTTAGAGTGGTCAAAACGAGCTCCTATTCCATTTCCTTGCTTCAAAAATCCATTCAGTATATTGTCCAAGGATAGGGGATGTATTAAATATTAAATGGATAAAAATAGATACTGCACTTGATCTTAGCCAAGAGACATCAAGCTTTTCTTTTTTGGTGGTGGGGGAATTGAAACCACTTTACCACTGAGCCACATTCCCAGCCCTTTTTTATTTTTTACTTTGAGATAGGATCTCACTCAGTTGCCCAGGGTCTTGCTAAATTGCTGAGGCTGGCCTTCAACTTGCAATCTACCTGCCTCAGCTTCTCAAGTTTCAGGGACTACAGGTATACACCACCATGCCTGGGCAAACTTTTTTTTTTTTTAAGGAAATATTTTTTTCCCATTTTACATGAACTGGACTTGGGCAGTTGGGAAACTTATTGTTGGAAGTGACCCTCTTTGTTAAGGTGACTTCAGCTCAGCTGAGGAATTTACCTGTTAAGCCCATAACCCTTTCTTCTGCTTGCAGGATTTCATGTCTGTGCTGCTGGATGGATGGCCAAGGGCAGGGTTGGATATCCCATTGTGAAACCAGGGCCCAACTGTGGATTTGGAAAAACTGGAATTATTGATTATGGAGTCCGTCTCAATAGGAGTGAAAGATGGGATGCCTATTGCTTCAACCCACATGGTTTGTTAAAAATGAGCATTTGATGTTTTACAAACAAAATTACACAATAAGCAACAACAAAATAGTTATAGACTGCTCAGAGATGGTTTTTAAAAATGGCTTTTTCTTCCAGAAAAAACATTAAATTTGGTAATGATAAATATTAATAATAACTCCATTCTTAGAGTGCTTTTACTATGCTAGTCACTGAAGTAGCTTCCTTCACCAACATGATATTCACAACTTCACTTGATATTCACAACTCTACAAGAAGTTATTGTTATTGCTGTTTTAGGAATCAAGAAATTTAAACTTTTACAGAACTTAAGTAACTTATCCAAAATCATATAATCAATAATTAGTAGGCAGGTAGGGTGAGAATTTGGGTCTTCTCTGTGCCAAGGAACTTCCTGGTTACAAAGAAGAGAAAAAAGAGAGGGGTGGAGGACCAGATTATAAATTTGTCATAATTACTTACCTACAGCAATAAAGTGAAGTGACCAAATGTTAACTGTTCAAAATTATCCCTTGGATAATGGGGAAAAGGAGACAAAATAAATAAATATTTGCTGTAATTTTCTTTTAGGGAGGAAGATTTAAATGTTTAGATTTCCAACCAAAACAACTCTCACACTGTGATTTGGCTTAACAACTATATTCTGTAGATACTGGTTATGATTATTTATTATTATTTTTATTTATATTTTTCTTGATTGCTCAAAATATTTAATTAGAAAATTAATTCATTGTAATTTCTATAGTTATTTTTGTTTATGTTATTGGAAGAAAAAAATAGACTCTTCTTTTGGGATATTTCCCCCCAGGACAATATTATAAGTGTTATATAACATGTTACAAAGTCCTTCTGGCATATGGTCATAAACATACTTAAGTAGTGTTTCACTCGGATCCACCTTGTAAGAAATTCCATAGCACAATGGGAGAGTTACAGTGAAGTTCTAGCATATGGTTATAGAATTTATTATTTAATGACACTAATCACAAAAGAATAGTCTTTTATGTCTATAACTAACCTATATCTCAAAAGTATGTGTATTCCCAATAGAAAGAATTTTGCTTAGCGCTATGTCCTCATCTTATTTGAAACAAGATATATGTTGTTGTTTTTTTCAGTACTGAGGATTGAACCCACAGCCTCCACACAGGTGGGGCCAGTGCTCTACCATTAAGCTATCCCAGTCCTTTTAATTTTTTATTTTTAGATAGCGTCTTGCTAAATTATCCAGGCTGGCCTCAAACTCACAATTTTCCTGCTTCAGTCTTCTGGAGTATCTGGGATTGCAAGCATGCACAACCACTCTGGGTTTACAATGCATTTATAATAGGACTGTAACTTCCAAGTCACTTTTGGCATGTTTTAACATCATTTAGTCTTAGATAGTATTCTACTACTGTATATTTAGTCCTCATGGTTAACAGTATCTAAATCTTCCTTTCCTCCTTCCCTTGTCCCCCTTTTCTTCCATATATTTAGTTTACTTTTAGATTTCGTAGAATGCTGATTATTTAGGACACGGCTTCTTGAAGGACAGTGCAAACTGCCTAAATTAGAACTAGAACAGCTCATTGAAACATAATTGGAGTGAAAAAATTATTATACTATCAAGAAATAAAGCATTATTACTTATCAAATTACCAAGTTAGAGTTGATTAAAATAAATAATAATAAGATCGTTAAATATTCAGAAGTAGTAGCTCATTTCAAGTTTGGAATGCATGACATGATGTTGATTGACGTATTTATTTATTTATTTATTTATTTATTTATTTTTGGAGCTGGGAGTTGAACCCAGGAGTTCTTAACCACTGAGCTAAACCCATCCCCCAGCCCCTTTATATTTTGAGACAGGGTCTTGCTAAGTTGCTTAGGGCCTCACTAAATTGCCAAGGCTAGTCTCAAACTTGTGATCCTTCTGTCTCAGCCTCCCAAATCGTTGAGATTACAGGCATGCAACACCATTGCCCATGTATATTTTTTAACCAATTAATAGTCATTAGATATCCAGTCAGTTTTGCAAATCTGTCATTTTCTAAATAAGCAATGGATTAAGCAATAACCACAAAGCTAAATAGGTTTATCTAAATAAGCAACCAAATTAGTTCAGTATTTGAAATATTTCCCTAACAGACGTACAACAAAAATAGAATGTATGAACAGAACAAGTCATTCCCAAAGCTGGTAATGTCATGTTTTTGAACACAGACAAACCACGTATCACATGATATTTCATGATACAGTAACATTAGCTTACATTTGCATAACACTCATGAATTATCTTCCATATTTCATTCTCAGAATAACCCTGTGAGGTAGGCATAGTTACATTTTACTGAGGAAGAAAATGAAATATAGAATGGTCATGGAGCTTCAACTAGGTCCTTGGCCATTCCATTTCTTCCCAGCCTTTCTAGGATACTGTTCAGATTAAGCCTTAGGAAGATAAATTCTCTTAACTGCTATAGTATTAAGTATTTTTAAACAGTTTTTAAATTATTTATTTATTTATTTATTTATTTATTTATTTAGTCTGAGGATTGAATGCAAAGGCACTTTACCACCAACCTATATTCCCAGACCTTGTTAAATATTTTATGTTGAAACATGATCTTGCTAAAGTAGCAAGACTTGTAACCTTCCTTCCTCAGCCTCCAGAGTCACTGCAATTACAGGCCTGTGCTACCAGGCTGGGCTCTAACACAATGTTTTTAAAATTGCTATTTTAAAGGAGAATATTCTTGGAAAAAACCTTTAGTTCATATATTTAAAATAAATATATCTTAAAATGCTACCCACACAGGTTATTTTTTGAGTTTCCAGCTTCTACCTTTTTTTTATTTTTTAATCCTGGATACTAAAAACTTAACTGATAGGGCATTAAAATTAAGTTCCACCACAGTCTTCTCTCTGGGTCATATTGCAAACCCACTAGTTCTGAAAGATATTTTTATTTGTTCTTTTTCTCTTTCTATTTTAGTTTGCTTGTTTTTCTTATGACAGGTTATATGACATACTGAAATCTATAAGATGAATGACTTGGAAAAAACAAACATGAATATCTCCATCAAATTCACAAATATTAGGATTTCAATGTTGGTTTAAAACCAGTATAGAGCCTGGCACAGTGGTGCATGCCTATAATCCCAGCAAATTGGGAAGCTGAGGCAGGAGGATATCAAGTTCGAGATCAGCCTGGACAACTTATTGAGACCCTGTCTCAAAATAAAACATACAAGGGACAGGGTGGGTATAGCTCAGTGGTAAAGTACCCTTGGGTTCAGTCCCCAGTAACAAAATAAAAACAAATCCCCTAACTATAGACAGTACAGAATGAAGGCTATGGATGTAGCGTGTGAACTTAGCCTGCACAAGAACTTGGGTTCAATACCCAGCACCAAAAAATAAATTTAAAAAAAGTTACAGAATGATTATAAATTATTCCCTTTTATTGGATTGAGTCACTGTTATGGTGCCTTATGATTCTAAAATTCTATAATAATTTTCCACACAAAACTTAGAGGACCCATTGTTCTAAGTGAGTACCTGAAGACAGTTGTGACAACCACAGAACAGAAAAAAAAAAAAAAAAAAAAAAGAATCTCACCTTGTTGAGCGGGATGTGGTGGTGCAGACCCACAATCTGGGTACTCTGGAGGCTGAGGAAGGAGGATTGTAACTTCAAGGCCAGACTAGGCAATTTGGCAAGACTCTGTCTCAAAGTAAAATGTTAGAAAAGGATTGGGAAAGGGGAGGTACTGGGGAATTAAATTGATCAAATTCTATTGTTCTATTGTGTGCATTGTAGAAATATATAACAATAAATCTCAGTATTATATGTAGTAATAATGCACCAATAAATGTTTTTACAAAATAAAAGTAGAAAAAGGGCTGAGGATGTAGTTCAGGGGCACAGCACTTGCTGAAGGCCCTGCATCCAATACCCAGTAATAGAAAATAAATAAATCACTACCATCTTGATTAGGCTGCTGGTAAGATGGGTGTATACATATATTTGGCAAAATGCATAAAAGTAGGCTGAATGTGGTGGTGCACCCCTGTAATCCTAGCAACTTGGGAGGTCAAGGCAGGAGAATTGTGAGTACAAAGTCAGCTTCAACAACTTTGCAAGGCCCTAAGCAACTCAACGAGACTCTGTCTCTAAATAAAATATTAAAAAGGGCTGGGGATGTGTCTGAGTGTCTCAGTGGTTAAGCAATCCATAGTACCAAAATAAATAAATAAACAAAAGATGTGCACTTTAGGGCTGGGGTTGTAGCTCAGTGGTAGTGTGCTTGCCTAGCACATGTGAGGCACTGGGTTCGATCCTCAGCACCACATTAAAAAAAAAAAAATGAATAAAATAAAGGCATTGTGTCCCCCCCCAAAAAAGATGTAAAGATGTACACTTTATGCCTTAAAAGATTTTTTTTATAAAGTAAAAATGAAAACAGAAACACAATTAAATTACCATTTTTCCTGCTATTTTTACTTTTTAAAAAATCACAAATACTTCATGTTCATTTTAGGTAACTGAGAAACTTTTTTTTTTTTTTTGGTTTTTAAAATAATTTTTATTTTTTAAAAGTAAATTGTACATTACAGGAAAAAAAAAAACACACAAGCAAAGAAAAAAGTCATCCAGTCACAAGAAGCTTATTTGGACGTGTCCCTCTAGGTTGTGTGCATATATACACAATATCCCATTTTGTGTGATTGAGATTGTGGTGTGTATCATGCTTTTCCACACATCATGAATATTCATCAATTCAAAATCCTGAAGCTACATGAGTATTTTTTGATAACCAAGAATACACTACACCAACTTTCTTGGGGACAAATTTTCACTGAAGACAGAAATGGCAACAGGCCTCTAGATAGACATATTGGCAGAGTTACAACTAAAACAATTCATTCCTTTAATGCTCAATTTAAAATGAAACAGCAACAGAATACACCAAGCTTGTTTCATTAACAGATTTCTACTACTAAAATATTAGCAAGAATGCATGTTCCCGGTAACTGAGAAACTTTTAATGAAAAAAATATATTTATTCTTTAGCTATATGCATACATAATATGCTATAGGTACTATATATTAAGCAATTTCTTTAGTATTTCATAAAGAGTAATAAATAATGTCTAAGAAGGAAGTATTATTTTTAAATAAGGATAATTACCTTCCTAAGGCTTTCTTTTCTTTTCAATTTCAGCAAAGGAATGTGGTGGTGTCTTTACAGATCCAAAGCGAATTTTTAAATCTCCAGGTTTCCCAAATGAGTACGAAGATAACCAGGTATGCTACTGGCACATTAGACTCAAGTATGGTCAGCGTATTCACCTGAGTTTTTTGGACTTTGACATTGAAGATGACCCAGGTTGCTTGGCTGACTATGTTGAAATATATGACAGTTATGATGACATCCATGGCTTTGTGGGAAGGTACGTGTGTTTCTGCATACAGGAAGTTCAGTGAGTGCTCAGTATTACTTGTTGCTTCTTTAATTTTTTTTTCTCAGCATATAATATTGATTTTCCTATATTTCTACTCTTTGATAACATCACATTCTTTTTCAACTAAGATTTTTCTTAGTTGACTGCTACAGGTACTTATTATTAAAATATGATAATAGCATTTTGATTAATTTATTAATGTATTTAAAAACTCATGATTTGACTAACAATAGGAAAAGAGAGATGTTAGTTGAAGAATTTGTTGGGGTTATTAAGTGTTCTAATTCCTGTCAACCTCCTAAAAATGATTATAAATTCAGCAATTGTTGCCTTTCTCCTTGTAAAAGGCCTTGTGATAAGTATTATGAATGCAAAGTAAATTAGCAAAGAATAGCCCCTTCCCTTTTACAATTTAGCTAAATGTACAATGTATGTCTTATTTAAAATAGATTTCTTTGCCATAAAAAAACAAGTGCTCCGTTCCGCAATATTTTTTTCGTGTTTTTCTAATACAGGGAACAAAATATCATGAGACATAAATATACAATTAAGTGTTTTATATATGTATGTCCCCACTTAATAACTCATTTTTTATTCTTTCTTTGTATGGTTTGTTTGTTTTATCAGTGCTGGGGATCAAACACAGGGCCTCATACATACTAGGCAAGCACTTTATTACTGAGCAACATCCCCAACCACAGTAACCATTATTTTAGACTCTCCAGCCTGGCGTGGTAGCCCAGTGGCTCAGGAGGCTGGGGCAGGACAATTGGCAAGTTTGAGACCAGCTTTAGCAATTTAGCAAGGCCCTAAGCAACTTAGCAAGACCTGTCTCAAAATAAAAAAGGCTGGGAATCTGGCTCAGTGGTTAAGTACCATGGATTCAATACCCAGTACCAAAAAAAAATAAAATAATAATAATAATAATAATTAATTAATTAATATTGTGAGTTGATTCAAACAACAAACTTTCAACCCCTTTTCTCTCTTACAAATCCAAGTTAAAAAACAAGAAATATTTTTAAAATTATAGAAAAATGAGCCACTGCTTAAAGGAATCAAAGAGCCACTTCAGTAACTATAAAAGATTCTTTTATGTGACCTCTTTTTTTCTAAAAATTCCCTTTCAGATACTGTGGTGATGAGCTTCCAGAAGACATCATTAGCACAGGTAATGTTTCAAGTCTAGGAGCAAGACTTTGATTTGTTTTACTACTGTATCCTTGATAGTAAAGGACCTACTAGTTATTATCACTCACTTTTTAATTTTGTATGTTGTGTGTGTGTGTGTGTGTAAGTGAGTGTGTGTGTGTGTGTGTGTGTGTGTGTGATACTAGGGATTAAACCCAGGACTTAGCACATCCTAGATAGTGCTCTACCACTAAACAACATCCCCAGTCCTTTCTTTCTTTTTTTTTCTTTTTTTGATAGTGGGGATTGAATTCATGAGCACTTAACCACTGAACCACATCCTCAGTCCTATTTTGTATTTTATTTAGAGAAAGGGTTTCACTGAGTTGCTTAGTGCCTCACTGTTGCTGCCAAGTCCTTTCTTAATTTTTTTATTTTGACACAGGGTCTCCCCAGACTGCCCAGGCTGGCCTCAATTTGCCATCCTCCTACCTCAGCCTCAGCCTCCAAGAGTAGCTGGAATTACAAATGTGACCCACCACACCTGAGTTTTTAATGTTGAGAGAGCTGGGAATTGGGGACATAACTCAATGGTAGAACACTTGACTAACATGCCTAGCATATGTGACACCCTGGGTTCAATCCCCAGCAACAAAAAGTAAAAATAAAAAAATAAGTAAAGTTGTGATAACTAAGGCTAGATATAGCTTGTTAGCTTGGAAACAATAAGAATTTTTTTATTTATACTTAAAGATTTATACCAACTCCTTGCACTAAAAATATATAGACCCTCTTTATTTGTAGGAAATTTAGTGAGAATATTGAATCTGCAAATCTGCGAACACTACAGTAGCCTGTAGCTTATGATTGATTTCCGGGGTTCATTTCCCAACAACACACACATACACATACACACACACACACACACACACACACAGAGAAAACAAAAAACAAACCAAAAACCTTCTGTAGCTAAAAATAATTGTACATTACTTTTTTTACATTTTTATCTTAGAACAGCATTCCCCAGAGTGTATTCTGAAGAAAAGGCTTCTGTAAAATATTTTAAATAGCAAAGGGCTTTGGGGTCAAGTTAATTTGAGAAACTTTGGGTTAAACACTGTCAAACACGTTTTTTTTTTTTTTTTTTTTATTGGAAGACCACGGGAACTTTTAATGTGCTGATTTGTATAGTAAATCTCAAATGGTTGAATATAATAGGCTGTTTTCCAAAATCTACTCCTCCCAAAATTATTTTGTCTTTTTCTAAGAAATATGCCTCCAGAAATGTCCTTGTAGAGGCGTACATTTTTCACAATAAGCATGATTACTCTTTAATATTATCCCAAATTGCTTTTTTCCATCCCCAGCACCAGTCATTGGCATTTTTATATACTCTTAGTTTTCCTCCAAGTCATAAAATTATCACAATACTTATGCAACTAAAAATACCAAAGCTACATTGAGCTGTGATTCTAAGTAGTCTTTAAACAGACACTTCTAGTTAACTTACTCCCACACCCAGCCTTGCAGTGCATTCAATTCTAATTTATTCATCATTATTACAAAATATGGAATGTCCTGTTCTATCCTTGAATGATTAATGCTCAAATCTTATTAATTTATTACTCTGTTGCAACCTTTCTAGAAAAGGTGATCTATTAAAACTTCTATTTATATTTATTTTTCTACTGTTGAAAACATATTTAATGTTAACAGAAAGTTGAAAGGTGTCAGAGCTGCAGGAGATAATTGGTGAGGTGGTTGGGGGTTGGGGGATGGGCTGAGAATTCTATTTGTAAAAACAAACAAAGGCAAGAGATGGCACACACCAGTAATCCCAATGATTTGGGAGGCTGAGGCAGGAGGACAGCAAGTTGGAGTCCAGCCTGGGCAATTTAGCAAGACTGTGTCAAAATAAAATAAAAAGGGCTGGGGAGACAGCTCAGAGGTAGACAGCACCCGCCTTATATGTGTGAGGCCCTGGTACAACTCCCAGTACAAAAGAGGAAAGAAAGGGAAGGAAGGGCCACTTTTATATGAGAAAGGTGAATCTTCAAATTATGAGACAAAAAAAAAAAAAAAAAAGTAACTTTGTTCTTTTGTATGCTCCTGTCTCCATAGGAAATGTTATGACCTTGAAGTTTCTGAGTGATGCTTCAGTAACAGCAGGAGGTTTCCAAATCAAATATGTTGCAGTGGATCCTGTATCCAAATCCAGTCAAGGAAAAAATACAAGTACTACTACTGGAAATAAAAACTTTTTAGCTGGAAGATTTAGCCATTTATAAAATAAAACAAAAAGGATACTCAAATTATACAATGTTACGTCTTTTGGAAACCTTTTGATCTCACTTTTGTATTATTATTGTTGTTATTGTTAATGTTTATTTATTATTTTTCTAAATGTGAAAGCAATACATAATTTTGGAGAGAATTGAAAAATACAGAAAACTTCAAATGAAAATCTCTTATACTCTCACTACATAGAGATAACTAGTGTTAACATTTTTATATTTTTTTTTTTCATTTTTTTTTACTTGTGGTATGGTATATGTATATATGTATATATGTGTGTTTGTATTTGAAGTTTGGAATCCTACTCTATGTACAGTTTTATATGCTGTTTTTCTTTAACCTTAAACTTTTTAGCCTAAGCATTTTCCCAAATCATTGTGTATTCTATAAAATCATTATTTTGAACAGCTGTAAAATTTTCCATGGTATGATTATTTCGTACTTTATTTAAACCTCTCTATTGTTGGAATTTTAGATTGTTTTCATAAATATTGCTGAATAAATATTCTTGGATGTACATATTTATGTAGTTGTTTAATTTGGGGGGACAGGAATCTAGAAGTAGAAATATAGAATCAGAGATTATAATTTTTTTATTTTTTGGTACAGGGAAGGGGTGCTTCACCACTGAGCTACATCCCCATACATCCCCAATAATTTTTATTTTTTGAGACAGGGTCTTATTAAGTTGATGAGTGAGGATCTTGCTAGATTGTTAAGGCTGACCTTGAAGGTGCAGTCCTCCTACACCTTCAAGTAGCTAGGATTTTAGGCAAGTGCCATGGAGCCTGGTTTCTTTTCTTTTATTTATGTTTAGAATTGTCAAAAGACAAAATAACAAATTTAAACAAAATTAATTTAAAGATCTAACTGGGTGGTAGCACACACCTGTAATCCCAGCTATTCAGGAGACTGAGGCAGAAGGTTGCAAGTTCAAAGCCAGCCTCAGCAACTTAGCGAGATCTGTCTCAAGCAAAAGGGGTGGGGGATAGGAATGTTTTTTCTGTGGTTAAGTACCACTGGGTTCAATCCCTAGTAAAAAAAAAAAAAAAAAGAATAAAATAAAAACAAAAAGATCTGTGTAGCTTAGTGGTAAAGAGTCCTGGAGTAAATTCCTACTAATATAAAAAAATAAGAAAAAAAGAAAGAGGAAAAAAATGATCTAATTAGCTTTATTTGCAATTCTAGAATTGAGCAACACCTCATTTTTAAAATAGAATGAGTGTTGCTGTGAACTCAGCAGGGGATGTGTTGACTTTATGGACAAAAAAGGGCTGAAGAAAGCAGAAACAGAGGAACAAAAAGTGGATTGGTCATTTCATAGTTATTTTCCTTACAAAGGTAAAAGAAAGGGAACCTCCTAATCATGTCAACTAAAGCCAGTTGTTTAGGGGTTGGGATATTAATCGCTCTCCTGATTTCATGAAACATCAAGTAAACAACTTAATTTCTTGGTAAGGTGGAGCTTCAGCATGAGTAACTCCATTTTGGTCTGGTCTGCTGGGCATGATTCAGGAGCTCAGTCCAAAATCAAAGGCCTCCTCTATATTTTATGTAACAGGATGACTATTTCCATTATGAAATTGTATAAATATTTATCTGATTTTATTTTTGTTTTACCACTTCACCTTTCAAGGGGGAAAAGCCACAGTTGTTCCTTTGTATATGAGAGTCAATGATTACCAGCCAATTAAATTCAACAAAAATTTACATACATAAACACAGTTTTAAACACATGGGAACACCAGAAATCCAAGTAAAAAAAAAAAAAAAAAATCCTAAGCTTGAGGAGCTTATGTCTGGTGGAGGGAGAGAGAGAGAATAAGTAATAAAAGTGATAAATTATTAAGTTACATGTTAGAGTGCTGCATATTAAATTACTTACCCTATGAAGATGGTTCATGACCTTGACGGGTAGTTTCAGTGGGATAAAAGAGGCAAAGGTCCAAATAAAGTGGGTTTAAAACTGAAATAGAGGAGAGGAATTGGGGACAGAGGATGTGTTGGCCAGTTTTTTGTTGTTGTTGTTTTTGTTATTATTTGTTTGTTTGTTTGTTATTTTGTCATAGTTATGGTTTGGATGTGAGGTGTCTCCAAAAGCTCACATGTGAGACAATGCAGGATGGTTCAAAGGAAAAATGATTGGGTTCTGAAGAGTCTTAACTCAATCAGTGAATTAATCCTCTGACAGATTAACTGGGCGGTAACTGAAGTGGTAGGGTGTGGCTGGAGGAGGTGGAATTAGGGTGTGGCTTTTTTGTATATATTTGTAACTGGGGCGTGGAGTCTCTCTCTGTGCTTCCTAGTCACCATAATGTGAGCTGCTTCCCTCCACTACACTCTTCCACCATGATGTTCAGCCCCACCTTGAGCCCTGAGAAATGGAGCAGGGCTTCTCTGGACTAAGACCTCCAAAGCCATGAGCTCCTGAACAAACTTTTCCTCTATAGTTGTTCTGGTAAGATCCTTTAGTCACAGCAGTGAAAAAGCTGACTAAAACAGTCACTATAACAAAATACCTGACAGGCAGGTATGAAGAAAAGACTTTTTTTTTTTTTTTTTTTTTTTTGCAGGAGTGAGGGGTACCAGGGATTGGAACTCAGGGACACTGAACCACTGAGCCACATCCCCAGCCCAATTTTTATATTTTATTTAGAGATAGGATCTCAGGGAGTTTCTTAGCGCCTCACCATTGCTGAGGCTGGCTTTGAACTCGAGATCTTCCTGCCTCAGCCTCCCTAGCTGCTGGGATTACAGGCGTGTGCCACCGCACCTGGCCGAAAAGACACTTATTTAGCTCACAGTTTTGGAGGCTGAACACTCTAAAAACTCAACACAAGCCTGAATAGCAGTGGCAGAGGAGCATGCAGGTGCAAGTAAATGAGTGCATCTAAAACTAGCAACAGAGAGTGTGGACAGAAGGGGACAGGTTTTCTCCTATGACAACCCTCTAATGAAAACTCAGGAGGTCAAACCTGGGCTACTTCATGTTGCCAGGACCTCCTATTGAGCTCTCTATCTTAAAGGTTCCGCCACCCTGAGGACCAAATCTTCAAACACAATGGTGCACTCAAACCACCCAAAACCATAGCAGTGGGTTTGGCTATCTAGGAATTGGCAGTTGCCATTCCCAAGAAAACCGAGACTTTCGTGATGGGAATGAAACAAGGGCTGGGAGAGTTCCCGGGGACAGCTGTGGGTAGGTAGTCTAGGTTGTACAGCCATGAGAATTTCCCCTCCATCCTCTGAGATTTTGAGCTTTTAAGTCTGCTGAAAATAATTGGCAATGGATTAATAACATATAGATTTATTAATGTGCAAATGTGCATGGAAATCATATCAAATATGAAAACTCAAAGAAGGGCCAGATGGTTGAGGCTTAAAAACCATCTTTTCATAGGGTAGAGGGAAGTAGGGGTTGTAGACAATTTTAGAAAAAGAGTAAATGATTTGTAGAAGAGATAAATGAGTCTAAAGAACACACAATGACCTGGGACAAAGTTTATTTGCATTCCACATGTGGTGTTTGTCAGTTTCTTCCTCCATCAATCTATCCTCATTAATGAAATTGAAGGAAGAGGATTGAAGGCAATTTTGTCCCTCCTTATTGGAGTCAGTCTTTAGCTAGATAGGGAAACTTTAGAGAAAGCACTTCCTTGCATATGCTACTCCTCTGGTACTCATAGGTTGAAGTCTAAAGCAGCACCTTTGGTGGAATCATTTTCTGAGCCCCAACATAGTAAATAGTGAGGGTCCTGGTAAAAAAAACAAATGGTGTACTCAAAAAAGGAAGCCTAAAGAGATTGTTGTAGATATGTGGGCTGACTTAAGGGAAGTCCCAAGGGTTGGTAAATTTGGGGAATTCACCACAGCAGAAGGACCCCCTGAAGGAACAAATTCAGGAGCAGTTATGATCCAAGAGGGGGAGTTTTACAAACAGAAGAGTTGCAGACACAAAGCCATAACAGAGCTTCTGCTAACCCAAGATTGGGCAGGGAATGAGGATAAATACCTCAACTCTTCCCTACTCTACCCTTCTATGATCTGTTGGTGTCTCCCATTATCTGAGTCCAAACAGAAGTCAGAATATAAAGATACCTGGTTGATGCCGTTCATAGAGATCAGCTCCAGCACTCAGACTATATGGAAGGTAGAGGCCCTGGGGGAACAAAGGAGGACAAATGGAACAGTGGGTGAAAGAAGATGAGATCTAGTGCACAAATAGAAAAACTGACTATAGATAGAAGCATGGACAGAGCATCTGCAGGGGGCGGGTCTTTATCCTCCTATATGTCATGTCATGTATTCTTTGAAGAGTGAAACCCATGGATGCTCCTCCTTAAAATAATATTTTTAAATGCATAAAAAACAGCTGAGCACGGTAGCACACATCTGTCTGTAATCCCAGCAGCTCGGAAAGCTGAGGAAGGAGGTTCCCAAGTTCAAAGGCCAGCCTCAGCAACTTAGTGAGGCCCTAAGCAACTTAGCAAGACCCTGCCCAAAATAAAATATAAATAATGGGCTGGGGATGTGGCTCAGTGGTCAAGTGTCCCTTGGTTTAATCCTCATCACCAAAAACTAAATAAATAAAAAATCATAAAATACATAAGAAAACTAGTTATACCAATACATAGTTATCAAATCGTTTCAAAAATCAAATCTGTGGTACATTAATGCATGTGGGTTTTGTTTGTTGGTTTGTTTTTATAGTCAAATCTAGGGCCTTGTGCATCCTAGGCAAGCATTGTACTACTGAGCTATATCCCCAGGCCACATGTATTTCTTTATTAATGCAGCATAAAACATCTAGCACTGGTTCTAATAACTACCACAATCCCAAAGTAGTAGTACATGTGGAGAGTATTCCACAATATTTACTAAACCTGTTTCATGTTCCTATGGTGTACATTTGGGCCACAAGCATAGGCACCCCTAGTGCTACTATGTTTATCACCTACATTCATAGTTGAATGAAATGCTAGATTTCAGATAAAATTATTGAAAATAAAAATTAATTCCCTTCATATATACAAGATCACAGCCCCTTGGATTCAGTTCAAGACCCATTAGCAGGAAGGCAGAGCACAATGACATAGAAGCTGACAGGTAGGAAAATAGGTGGTGGGAATCTTCAGGGTTTCCTTCTTTTCCTTCCTTCCTTCCTTCCTTCCTTGTACTGGGGATTGAACCCAGAAGTGCTTTATCATTGAGCCACATCCCTAGCTCTTTTTATTTTTATTTTGAGACAGGGTCTTACTTAGTTGTTCAGGGCCTCACTAAGTTGCTGAGGCTAGCCTTGAACTTGTGATCCACCTACCTCAACCTGCCAAATTGCTGGGATTACAGTCATAAACCACTGTGACTGGCTTGCCTTGCATATTTTCAGTGAAGAAAGAGTCAAGTCATGAGCCAAGAGTAAGGATGGAGAAGCAAATATAAAAGGTTTGAGAAGAGAGAAAGCATAAAATTATTTTTCAGGAAAGTGGAAAAGGAAATGGACTAGGAAGACAT